AAAGTTTGAAACACTAGAAATTAACGTATACAACACATTGAACCAAGATGAAATACACTTAAAGAAAATGTGATTGTGAAGTGTTTAAACACTTCGATCAAACGTGTGGAATCTTTTGAGTGTATGCTGCCACTGTGATCACTGAAAAAAATATCGGGGCTTCTTATGCGTTCGTCATCTTCTATTTAATGAAATGGAAGTAACATTTTAGCTTGTTCTTATGCAGGGTGTCTACTGATTTTGCTAATTATAACTTCCTGAGTTTTCCAGGTTTTTCCAGAACTTTTAGGATAATTTTCATGTTTATAAGAAATATGAAAAATTTGTTATTTTTTGGTACTTCGTATTTTGCACCAATTTTGACTCCTGTGAAAAAATAATTGGCCAGTGATATTTTCCCACAGGCCAATAAAATGTCTAATTAAATCAGAAATCGATCCCTTAGAAGTGAAAATTTACAGTTACGTTATATCGATTGCCAATCAGTTCTTCTCAGACTCACCTACGAGTTAAATCCTGAACTTCCTTTCTTCCATGGAATACATCTCAGAATTTCTTAGGATATTATCTCTAAATTCTCTTGAACTTTAGTTCAAAACTCCCTTAGAATTTGTTGTATATTTGTTCAGAAATCCTCCGTTGTATTTCTTTGGAATGCACACTTAAGTTCTATTTAAATTCTCCATAAAATTCCACAGGTCGGCACCCTAAAGTCCCAAAGCCATGTATTTTTTCAGGGCATAATCTGTGATCTTGAGAACGTTTGAACGTCCCAGATTGATGAAAACATTTCCCTTTCTGTTTGTTCTTGTTTTTTTTTTATAAATCTAGGATCACGAACATTTGTGTAAGTCACATAATCAAAAAAATGTCAGTTGAGTGCGAGGTCGATCTAATAGGTCCAAGCTCGCTTTAAGTAAAGCAAAGGAGAAAAAATTGTCATAGCCTAAATGTCAAAGCCTCAAAATCATGCTTTTTAAATTCCTAAAATGATTAAGATTTCTCAGACTACGTAGTGTTTACGTATTTTCTTGTTTCGAATTTTCCGTAGATCTCATTAGTAATCAAATTCAAGATTTCTTAATTCAGTCTTTCACTGTTTACAATTTGGTCCGTCCGATAGTGTTCGATCTACTGACCTTACCATTTTCTCTGTTTCTTAGTAAATTCTTGAGTTTTGAAAGCAGGTCTATTATTTTTGAATATATCCTTTATAGTTGAATGGTTGAATATAAAAAAAATGCTTCCTGTAGTTTTACTGCTGAAGATTTTCCTACAAATAACTTCGAAATTTTGCACGTGGTTTTTAACGGACTATTTAAAACCGGGAAATTTGTACCGGGAAAACTGGGAATTCTATGAAAGAAAATTCACTGGCCACCCTGATGTTGGCACTGTCTCGATGTTGGCAACATGGTATTCATTTTTAGCAACACAATACTCGATATAATGTAACTTCAGAAAATATGATAATTAAGAAAGTATACGTATTTTAAAACTGGTTCGGGGCTCAACAATATGTTAAGACTGTATTTGAACTGCTTTGGGTTTTAATTTACTTATTAATAAAAAACATCAATTCTCATAATTAATTATATGATTTGAGTAGTAGCTATACTGAAGATCCGAGAGATGTCGCCCCTTCAGTGGTAGAAAAATCATTTTTGCAGTATGGAGAATATCAGAAAATCCACGATTTGTGACTAAACATGCTTTCACAGAAGGAAACAAATAAACGAGTGTTTACCTTATCACCATAGTAATGTACTCGTACAATTTTTGTGCACCTAAAACTGCCCATAAAGACGATAATGAATAAAAACTGAAAATTTTCATGCATTTTCAAATGGTTTCCTACCATTCCCATACATTCGAAGTGACTGGCCCTCTGGATGTGGATGATGTCAAAAACAACAAAACATGATTAATTCTAGACAGAGCTGGAATTAAGTATAGTCGCTATATTCATAGTCTGGCGGATATAATTTCGATCTATCAAAAAGTGGAACCAATTCAATATATTTTAGGCAAACAATTGAAAGGGTACTATCAACATTTATTAACAAACGTAAATTATTCTTTCCCCGTCAATACAACGCAAATTACCGGCATCATCGGATAAGGGAAACTTTCCACAACCCAAGGATGGTATAAGTTTGCGTAGGCGAGCCTTGAGTCACGAGAAAATGGTTTCCGACGTTTTATTCGCAATAGCTGATGTGCTCTTTTCTGTTGTTAGTCGGGATTTGCTCGATTGGTTCCACTATTTGACAGTTCAATTGGTTCCCGAGATTCTATCCGCCAGACTATGAATATAGCGACTATAGAATTAAGGCGTAACAGCTTTTGTAAACAATGACTTCTCTCGACGATTTCTAGGAATTCAAGGTACGCCCACGCAAACCAACATAATCATTAGATAGGGGAGGCCTTCCCCTATCGGATGGTGATCTTAATTTGCGTGGACGAGCTTTGACTTTTTAGAAATCTTCCAGCTCTATCTAGAATTGATGAGAATTTTTTATCATTGAATCATATTTACGAAGAATAGTTTAATGGACCTGCTAGGTGAACAAAATTGGCATTTGTGTTATGACGGCAATTACACAGACAAACAGACACACATTGAATATTTTCAATATAAAACATCGTTGCTAAAACAATACCGCCATCTGTTGCGTATACTGATTTTGTAACAAAGGCACACAAACACTTAAATATAGTCATTTCCCGATCTTGTCAGACTGAGTCGAATGATGTATGTTACTCGTCCTCGGATCGAAAGTCGGTTTTCCAAGCGGTTTATGAAAAATAATTTGCAAGATAGGGAAAAAAATATGACTCCGGATAATCGAGCCATTTTCTCCGGATAATCGAGCCCCGGATAATCGAGCCTCCGGATAATCGAGTCCGGCCTGTACCGCCATCTGTTGCGTATACTGTGGTGGGTAGTACACTGAACAGATGGCGGTAGGTCGTAAACGTCAAACGCAAGTGAATTGACTATGCGCGCCACAGGTGTCGGTACTACCATCTAAAAACATTTAAATTGACCGTTAAATGCGTGTTCGATGAACAATGTGCGAGTGCCATGTCTGTTTGTCTGTGGTAAGTGTATATAATTTGAATTAAACTGTACATGAAGGTAGGTATTAACCACTTGTGTATAGAAAAAATACCAATTTAGACAAAAATGGAATACCCTGGGCATTGGCATAACCCTGAGGATTGCTTAACTGCAACCAGCTCCCAGGGCTTGTCTGTATCTTTACATTTTGAAAGATGTACACTAGTAATGCCAGTTGGTATGTAGCGGACGAAAAGTTTGTTGGATTTTAACTACTAGCCAGAATGAAATATTTGTGTCGTTTTGAATTAAGAGTTTAACCGAAGACTAGTGGTCGGTTTAACTATGACTTGATTCTCTGATTTGAGATGCAAAAAAAAAACTAATTTCCTTTATTTGGCCCAAAACTTTTGGAATGCGACATCACACACCTACCTTTGAATTTGGCTTGATCGAGTGGCGATTTTCTTTTTTTCTTTCTTTTCTGTAGATCAAGACGATGTAGTTTTGAAGAAGACAACGATATTAGCTATCTGCACGCTGGATCAACATATAGGCATGATAGAGGGAACATCATTTTATTTTCTTAAAAACAGAACCATCATAACAGATTATCAGGAATGCCCTATTAGTATTAGGATCCCAGAGAAGAAAAAAAAAGTTGGAAGACCATGGAAAACGAACGCAAGGCAGGATGTAGAAAGAAGCGGTCGATCGACGAATTATTGGCAAGAGGTGGCTAATAACAAAAGCATGTTTAAAACAGCCACGACAGGATTTTTCACTGAAATGGTGAAATCGGAATATGAAGACTCGGAAGATACTATCAGCGATTCAAGTAGCGATGATCAACTGAACATCTTGGATTTCAGAGGTTTCCCTGGCGATGAGGATGATGCAGCATCATAATAATATACCATTACGCTATTACCAAACTCTGTTATGGTAAAATCAACTAACAATCTCCCTTACTTTTCACCAATCCCGATCATTATTAACAGGTAAATATTAATGTTATTCAATTACTATATATTATATTATCATTACTGTGTATGGGGTGTGTACAGAGTGTAAAGGAGCCGTTCTAGGGGTTGTTTGGGGCATGTGGTTCATTTTAGACATTATAGTTTGACGTGATCACCATGTTCCACTCACGTTCTGCAATGTGGCCGTGAGGCTTGAGATTTGGCCTTCATAAGACCCGCTTCTGTCAAAATCAAAATCAAGTGAATGGGCACCACACGGTATAGCAATCAGTGCTGAGATTTGTCATTGTCATTGACAGACTTTCACGCGATATTGACAAAATTGTTCGTCACATAGTCACTGACAGACTTGATCCTCAAAAAAACCTTCGTCAAAATCTCATTCATTTTTTCGTCAATGACAAAGATTCACCTGGTAGCAAAAAGTGTAATTTAGTACATTCTGTTTCACATTATTGTTATCCAAGTAGCTCAGGACGTAGATACTTGTTCACTGAAATGGTTCCATGTAATTGTTTTGCTCAAGTCATTTCATATCGTTACAAATTTAGCTTATAAACAAATCTGCACATGTTCGTCACTGACACCATTGTCATTGACAATTGACATGGTTTGCCTTGACTATGACTGTTTGCTCAAATGAGTGACCAAAGCAGAATTGTCAATATCACCGTGTACTGTCGAGATTTTGCAGCACTGATAGCAATCATTGAATAAATATTAATTTCCCATGAAATTTAAGAACCCGGAAAACTTAAATTTTCAAGAATCCCGGGAAATCTCATTTCACGGGAAATCATATCATATCACTGTTGAGCCAAAGGAATATTTAAAAAAAAAGTATGACTTCCCCCATGTGCTCCGTGCCTTTCACAGCCCACTTGCAATTGTCGTTCCGAAACACTTTTCTTATGGACACTTTTTTCTATCATCCCCGCTTTGCTTAGGAACCATGTGGTTACGGAGCGAAACCAGAGACCGAAGGCTGCGTTCGAGCAGTTCTCGAATAACAGTGAAAAATAAAAGGCATGCTAAGTCCCAACAGAAAGTAAAACGCAGTCACACGGATGTAATAATCACGCGGCGGAGTACCCACCTGCAACTATCGGAAGGTGGAAGCCGTGGCCGTACGGTCATAAGCGCCATTGGGGCCATCACACGTACTTCTACGCGGTCCGGCAATAGAGTTAGTCCGAAGCGTACGCTAAAGGCTGGTCGAAGGATCAGCAAGCCTGCGACCTTAAGCGGTGATCATGGTGCAATCTCAGAGGATTGCAAGGAAAACTGCTGGCAGGATAGCAATGATCTCACCCTATTCGATTCCTCCGTCAGTCTTAAGAATCAATATGAAAGCACTACTATATACTCGAAGAAGGGCGACGAAATCGGATCGCCCGACGATTGTATCAATCAGTTCGGAGTGATCAGCTATGATTCAAGCAAATCAACAACGGCGACAATTATCTCGACTGGTGGAGTTAGCAATTCTCAATCGGTTGAACCACTTAAGTCAAAGTGCATCACCGAGTGCGACAGTACAACTGAAATAGGTTGCGATGTAAGTTATCCATCAACATCGGGGTCTTGCAACAGGCGTCTCAAAAGTCCACTTGAGAATGTATCGCTTTCCGTACAACAAGACATTGTGGTTCCGGAGGTGGATTCAACAACTGACACTATTCCAGATACCACCAATGAACTGACAACGGCTGCCTCCAAAATCATCTCTTCGTTTCCATCGTCAGCATCTTCGTTGTCTTCGTCGTCGTCGTCTTCATCATCATCATCGTCATCTTCCTCGTTGTCCTCCACTTTCCAGCCGACTGGTTACAGCAGTTGTTCGTCCGTGTCTGGTGCTGATGACCAGCCGGCTTCCAGCAGTTATTCGCCCAACGCAACCGCTACGGATTTGATCTCGATGTTCGACGACGAACACTATAGAAACTCGGCAGAACTTTGTCAATACACAGATTTTCTGCCGTATAATACTTTATTTACGCAAGCTCTGCTTAGTTGTGGCGACGTTTCGAGCCTCAATCTCAACTGCAACCAAGTGCTTTCAGAGAACATTACAACCGGTATGAATGAAACAGGGTTCCTTTCGTCAATCAACCCGACGGCTATCGAAAATTTGAAAGCGTTGACTAATTTCCAAACCGTGAATGCTTCTGATGAAGCAGGACCAAGTTCGAGTGGCGCCTATCTTACAGAAATCGGTGTGCGTGTCAACGAATTGACCACCTCAATTGGTCACGGGGATGGTCATCCGGAGAATGCATCGTTGATCCATAATATTGAATGCAATGAAACGATTCCAATGTGCGGCGATGAATGCGAAAATGGAATGCAGTTGGAATCTGACGAATGCATGGAGATCGAGGTATGTCCAATTGTCTGCTATTTGTTACTCATATTTTAAGTATTTCCTTACGTGTGTGTTTAGGAATCCAACGATGGTCAGCATGAGCATGTCACCTGGGAAACGTTCGATCCGTACGTGTTCATCAAACATCTACCGCCGTTGACGTGCGAGATGCGTTCCAAATGTCCTGCGCTGCCACTGAAGACACGCTCCAGTCCGGAGTTCAGTCTTGTGCTTGATCTCGACGAAACGCTGGTGCACTGCAGCTTACAGGAGCTGTCGGACGCTAGCTTCAAATTTCCGGTGCTATTTCAGGATTGCAAATATACGGTGTTTGTTCGTACGCGGCCATTCTTCCGCGAGTTTCTCGAGAAGGTTTCGCAACTGTTTGAAGTTATCTTGTTTACTGCCTCCAAGCGGGTATATGCCGATAAGCTGCTGAATTTGTTAGATCCTGAGCGGCGGCTTATAAAGTAAATTCTACACGCTCATATTTCTTGCTGCAGCGTAAATTAAACTCTTCTCTTTGACTTGTTTCAGATATCGTTTATTTCGTGAGCATTGTGTACTAGTCAATGGCAACTATATCAAAGATTTGACCATTCTAGGGCGGGATCTGTCCAAGACGATCATCATTGACAACTCCCCGCAGGCATTTGGGTACGTTGCTGTTAAGAAACGTTTAAACGTTTTCATAACCAAACTATCTATCTTACTTTTCAGGTATCAACTGGAGAATGGTATCCCCATAGAAAGTTGGTTCATGGATCAGAATGATTCGGAGCTGATGAAGATATTACCCTTTTTGGAACGACTTCATGAAATGGTAGGTATTTTGTTAAACTACAAACTGTTTGTCACCTTAGACTATCTACTAACACAATTACATTTTACAGAGGGAAGACGTGCGACCCCACATCCGTGAAAAATACCGTCTGTTCTCTTACTTACCACCGGACTAAGTTTGCTAGAGGATAAACGGATAGCTTAAGCGAATGTGTATCTCCCTGGGCAAGTCGTTTGTACTGTTCTCCTACACTACAATGTGTAGCACTAAATTGAAATCTTAACCTAAGCGAAGCAACTAGATAAAGAAAATGAATTACCTAAACATACACATTTAGACAAGGGTACACCAAACTACATGGATAAGTAACGAAACAAATTTCGATGAACACACACACAAACACACACACCCACGTAGAATACATTTCTAGAAATTTAAGCGTCTGGATGTTGAAAAATCAGAAATCACAAGTAAAACAAATAACCGTACAGTACAGAAGTAATTTTAAGGTTGATTAACAAAAGATCGAGCAAATTAGAATTTTTCCTGACCCATTTGTAAAAGTTACTGTTTTTCACCTAGTTTACAGTGGGTTTAAAATCCTTGAAAACATTAAGCATTAACAAATGTAAGTTGACTAATGGAACAAAGCAAACGTTAGCGTAGAATGCAATATGATAAAAAGTAATCTATACAAAACAAAATATTTAATTAGAGTCGTAGCGATTAGATTTGCAAAAAAAGATAAAGCATGAAATAAGCAAAAAGAAGCAACATTTTACACTGAATTCTTGAACGATTAAGTTGTGAGCATATATCATTGTTTATATTGTCTTATACAAAGCGAACATTATTGTTATAAATAATTTGATATTATTTTTATTTATTGATTACTTGCGTGTATCATTGCTGTATGATATGATTATTTTAAGATGATCAAATTATATATTGTTGTATTGTGTACAGAAAAAAATAACATGAATTGAATCTTGGATCAAAACTTACAACAGAACACTTCAAAGCTCGTTCTTATTACCGTGATGATAAAAAAGAATGTCCATATTCTTTTGTTTCTTCGAGTTCCTTCCAATCTGAAAAAGAGCTTATCGCTTCCTAGTTTCAACTGTTGTTCCAATAAGTTCCACTCTTTTGATGGTCTGCTGTTAATAGTAAAACATGGTCATTTAATGTAGCACCTAATATGACAATCGCACATGGAGTCCGTTGACCCAATGGTGTTTCATCAACTAAACTGGTTTGTGACCATGATGTTTGTTTCGAAGCGGAGTCAATGTGACAAATCAGTAACCTATTGTCTTGGAAACAAGGACCATTATTTTTCAAAAATGTTGGTAACAAGCCTCAAAGGCCTATTTCTTTGAGATGAATACGAAACCAAATTATTCCCCAATTGCTTGGAACAGTTTTAACAGGAAGTCTAAAATGGTAATAAAATGAAAATTTCACTAATAGACTGGGATCTCTATACACTGTTTCATTTTATATCACATTCATAGCAAAAAATAGGAACGATTTCAAATGGCTCCTATCTCCTTTCGTCGATCAAATAAGTAATTGATAAACAGGCATGCAGTACTGCCCGCATAAATGCGAACCATTGCTTGACCTTACCAAAAATGGTTAAAAATTGTTTATAATCCCTCACTCATAAAATTCGACTCATTTTTATTGGTGAATTTCCATGTTAAATTCCACATTATTTTCATGTGTCCACACATAAACAAAATCCCTCAGAAGTACACATTAAATGTATGAGTCAAATGAATAGTATTTTTGAATTTTATGTGTGCACATAAGAACTATGTGTCCGACACATATATATCATTTGTTTATCACATTGCAAAAATTCATGTGTGGGACACATAAAAATAATCATTGAATTTTGCTTCGTGCTGTTAAACTCTAACTGAGATGGTTACGGTCATGACCACCCTAATATAAAATACCATACTTGAACGATAACCCAAATGATAGAACTATTCAAAAAATTATTTGGATGATACCCCGAACACGTCGTTAAGCAAAATAACCATAACAATTTTATTAGGGCAGTACTGATAAAAATTATAGTTGAAGATGCTAATTTCAAATAACAGACTAAAGTGGTAATTTTTATACGATAGATGAGAAGGAGATGAAAGTATAGAATTGATAGTTCCGTTTAGAGTACGGCCGACCGGTGAACACTCATGTTTATTTCAGTTACCGTGGGGATTTGCCCCGGTCCCTTTCAAATTGTATCATTATTTATGTACGGTCCTTATATTTGAAGTGACGTTTCACATTCATCTAGTGATGGCCGATTTTCATTCGAATAATCGATTAATCGATTAACGAACCAAAAAGTAAAATATTTATAATCGGTTATATCATGCCGACATAAGCATTAACTTCTCCAGAGGATCATCACCCATCATTTCAAACATGTGCTGCACTCTCATTGGTGGAAAATGATAGCACAGCGAACAAAATATAATCGATAAGTTGTTAATCGAGTAATAAAAGTATGGGACATCTCTGATTTTGGTATGATTGTTTTGATAAAAAAAAAGAGCGCATAATTTCATCTTTACCGAGGGAGCAGTAAATCCACAAAATCACCTTGCATACGGGGGGTATTCATGAAAGGGACCATGAAAGAGGACACCCCGCAAAAAAAATTACAGTGAAATTTTCAGTGGAAACAATGCGCTAACATTAATATTTATTGTCGACAATAAAAATTATTGTTATAATGTTGTACCCTTCCGAAAACGACAAAACTGTTACCTAGCTGTACAATGAATGTATATAATAAATTGTTGTTACAATGATTTTTATCGTATTTTTCATTTATTTTATTGTTAACATGATTCGATCATGAACAATAATGAACAACTCGACAGTGAGCATGCATAAGGGCCTATACGCGATGATCGATTCTCTTCGTCGATTTTCTCTTTTGTTAATAACTCGCTAGATTTGACGTTTCTCTGTGCGTTTGCTGTTGCTTTTGATAGCCAATACAACCTGTTACTACTCTGCATTGAACAAATTCTAGAAAATTGTTTCGCTTAGCTGTAGCAATGCAATGAGAAAATCGATGAAGAGAATCGATCATCGCGTATTCGCCCTTATGCATGCTCACTGTCGAACTCTATTACAATAAAAATTGTTGTTACATTAAATATTGATGTGTTTTCATTGTGGGTTACTTCACGAACAATAAAAATAAATCTGATTGAAGCATGCAGACTATGAGAGGGTCAGCAACACTGCCGATGAAATTAAGATAGGCGCTGCTCGAATGGCTCTGGTTTGACAGTTCATTTGGCTCAAAACGAACCAGTCCGCGTCCGCTCATCTTTTATCCTAGACCCTCTCTAAAGCTGGGGTTAAGATGGTTCAATTCAGAGTTCAACTCACTTGAACTGCTAAATGAACGTCCAGAAATCTGATCGATATCGGACTTGCTCTATTCGTTGCCAAGTCAGTTGAAGGCATACGACCAGATCGGTTTGAGTTGAGTTCAACTCACCTGCCTCATCTAAATCCCGCTTAATGCAGACCTTTTCCGTGCAGTCAATAATCATACATTAATAATAAAACACACAACTCACAATCCCTCTCCAAAGGGGGAGTTTGGTAAAGGTACTCTCTATATGCAATTTTCACACTGCCGTACTCTAAATTCTATACTTTCATCTCCTCATCTATCGTATAAAAATTACCACTTTAGTATGTTATTTGAAATAAGCCTTTAAATTATATTTATATTTCTTTTTAAATTCTCACTAGGAACTCCCTCACAATTCCCTTCTAATTCTTCTAAGAGTTCTTCAGGATCGTAGAATTAGTTTGGGATTCTTGTCAGAGTTCCGTTGAATTTTTCTTCGAGTTCTTCTCAGAATCTTAAATTTTCAAAATTCTATAAAAATTTCTTCAAATTATTAGAACCCTGATTTTTTTTTCCAATCGAACAAAATGTTCTATGGACTGTATTTTTCCAAATCTGGAATCTCGAAAAAAATTCTAAATTAGGTAGGTATCTAGAAACATTTTCAAAATCCCACATTTTGAGTATTTTTATCAGATTCATATTGGTGGATAAAAATCCAATCCTGTTTTTTCTTCTTATGATAAATTTTCAGAAGTCACAAAATTCTAAAAAAATGGCATATTCTTGGACTATATAAACATATGTGAAAGCCTTAGAAGCTTAGAAATTAAAATTGTTCTTAAGATTACATTTGTATTTAAGATTTAAATTCGTACAGATCATGACACTTCACAAAAAAATTTGCGCCGAGCTCAAGATTTTTAAAACAATTTCTTAATTTTATTTCTCCCTCTAAAATCCGGTATAATGGCCCATTCAGCCCGGAAGCGTTCGGCTATGCCACCTTAAAAAATACATATTGCTAGTACCTTGTAAATTCTAGTGTTTTTACAATCTTAAGAGGACTCGAGTCTAAAAAAAAATTATTCAAATTGATTCTGAGTACCTCGAAAATATCGTGATATTGAAATAATTATTTTTTACTAAATATTAAAAACCGGGAATATTTTGAGATTTGAACCGGGAAAACCCGGAAAAAACGGGAATTTTAAGATAAAAATTACTGGCCACCCTGAACATATTCATTAGTTACTTTTCTCAAATTCGTGAAGTTTTTCCAGGACCAACCTGGAAAAACATGAGGCAAATTTACTCATCGCTTAACTTCCGTCACTTCATGTGATTTATGAGTAAACTAAACTCAATTTTGGGTCGTTATCATTCGTCATGTGGGAATCATTGATGAAAAATACTATGATTGGTGTTTACATTGTTTACATTGAACATGTTTAGTGTTCAAGATGGCGACGAATGAAAAACACGTGCACGAGCAGATTTGGTGCGGATGTAATACAAATCCTGACTTGCCAATACGTAAACTTGCAAAAAAAAAAAAAAAATGAATTTACCTAAATCCTCTGTTCACTGTGTGCTCAAATAATTTTCGGAACGTTTGACGGTCGAGAGGAAACCGAGAAGTGATGAAAACATTGGACGTGCTGATCCTGTCATGTACCGAAAGGTGAAGAGGACATTGAAGGAAAGCCCGAATCTCTACACTCAGAAATTTTTTCACTTAGATGTTACATGACAACATATATCAGTGCCAACATTTCAAAGGGGCGTAATTGCTTTTGTAAACAATGGCTTTAGCCGTCGATTTCACCCAAATAAAAGCGCACTAATGAAAATTAATTACATCAACAGGAAGAGAAATGTTTCCTCTACCAGCTAGCATTGTTAATTTGGAAGAGTGAGCATTTATTTGCGAGAAATCAACGGCTAAAGCCATTGTTTACAAATGCAATTACGCCCCTTTGAAATGTTGGCACTGATATAGATTTTTTCCATCTAGTTTTACGTTGTTCATATGTAGATCGGTTCTAAAGTTTTAATTTCAATCCACATAAAACTGTAATAGGTAGTATAGGCCTTTGAGTAAATAAAGCAACATAGATTTTATAGTTCTTTCTAAGTGAATTTTATTAAACTTTCACTTAAATTTTAGTAAATTTCTTCGTAGCATCCAAACTGTTGTCAGGCGTTAGGCAACCCCTCCCCCCCCCCTAAGCTGTCTACGTAGTTTATGACAGCCACTAAATATATATAAGAAACCATCTGCATTAAGCTATGCAGATGGTTTCTTATATATATTTAGGGGCTGTCATAAACTACGTAGACAGCTTAGGGGGGGGGGGGTTGGCAATTATTCACGGCCCATACTAATTTTAATAATTTTGTATGGACAATTGTCTACGCATGACGAGGGGGGTAATGAATTAAAAAAAACTGTCTATGTAGTTAATGAACAGCTACTTACACGTTTAAGCTATTTTATACACATACAAAAAACTTACAATCCAATGCAATGCAACTGCCAGCCGCCCCCAGCCAGCTGCACTTCCTCTGCCAACCTTTCGGGCGAGGGGGGTGACACATCAAAATCTCAATTGTAGATGCCCAAAAAATCTCACACTAGCGAATCAATCTTGGAAAAATCATCTTTCATTTCTCGCATCTACGTGCATCGTGCTTCATCTTTTTGCAGGAAATCTTCAAAATCAACACAAATATTTGTTTTATCTACTCAGTTAGTCACAGCAAAACACGTTCTTTTCTGCATCGTAGATAGAGTCGTCCCCCTCGCTTTCGGGTGAGATGGCAAGAAAATCAAACTCGTCGATTCCTCGTTCTACAAATATATATGATTAGTAAATGCTGTATGATGACAAAAATAAAACAACTTACTATTCAGAAAATTAAACAAATCCAATTGAATTTGCAAATCTAGCAACCGGTCGTCAGCAATGCACCGTTCAGACGCCATATTAGGTTTTGTTTATGCTATCAGAAATTTTCACACTATAAATTCATGTTGGATCTAAGTGAAATTATCTTACATGAAATTCACTTGAAATTTATATATATTTCATCTAAGTTTCAATCAAGATTGCAAAGACTCATTTCAGCTAAAATAATGTTTTTCGGAATAATAAAACCAAAAGATGGCATGTTTTACTTGTAACTTACAAGAAGAGGTTACAAAGTATGCGTTGGAGACATAAAACCTGTAAATTTTGCTTTCTATGAGTCACAATCAGCGATTTGCTGATCGCTGAGTGAGTGAGTGAGTGAGTGAGTGAGTGAGTGAGTTTGTGAAAAATCGCTTTTTGTGACTCTCATGAAGTGAAATAAACAGGTTTAATATGTCAAACACATTCTTTGCAACCTCTTCTTGTATCCTACCAATTCAAAATATGATCATGGCATCTAATTATTTCATAATTTAGAAAAACATTGTTTTAGCTGAAATGAGTCTTTGCAACCTTGGTTTCAATGCTTACCACATTGCTTTTAGTATGATTTTTAATGTATTTATTACCGTCATGTACTTTGAAGATAATTTATAATATCTGAAGGTTACGTGTTTTTTCCCAGTGAAATTTATGTGACAAAAATTTTTGAGTGTATGTTCGAACAAGCAGTTCCAAATCGCAACAACAAGCAGAATTTGACAGCAAAATCACGGGCTGGACTTTTGTACTGCAAATATTTGACGAAGTTTTCATGCGTTGTTTTGGATGATGAAACTTGTGTCTTGGAGGATTTCATGCAGCTTCCTTGGCTGGCTTTCTATTCCAATATGGCCAAAATGCTACAGCTGAGTATTTCAGGACATCGGAACTTCTGAAAAAAAATACTTTATTGTCAAGTAATTTGCCCGTTTGGCCGAAAGAGTAAATCTTTCGTCACTACAGGCACAATCAAAAAGGAGATTTACCAGAAAGAGTGCCTGCAGAAGCGATTGCCACGCTTGATCAAAAATAACAACTCTCAATAATAACTCTTTGCTCTGGCCCAATTTTACATCATGCCATTATGCTAAAACTGTGATGGAGTGGTACGAAGCAAATCAAGTGAATATTGTACCAAAAACCGCAAATCCGCCAAATTGTCCAGATTTACATCCAATCGAGAGATATTGGGCTCTGATGAAGCGGAAGCTTTCTGGAAAGAAACAAGGCATCAAAGATATCAAACACATCCAAACAAATTTGGACAAAGACGGCCACCACGGTATCTGAGGAGTCTGTACAAACCCTAATGGATAGAGTTAAGCGCAAAATTCGAAAATGTTATACCGACTATGAAGTATGTTTTGAATTCGTGAATTTTAAAATCATATCCCATGAATCTGAAATAAACAACTACAATTGAAATATAATGCGACATTTGTGTTTTACTTATGTTTTGATGTGTCCGGATTATTGTGGATACAGACCTTACATACAAATAGGTTTGCGTCTACTCACTTGCTATAAAAAAAAGTTTTTCGTAATTATGAAATAATAGTTGTTAGAAGTAAGTACAAGAAGAGGTTGTAAGTTACAATAAGAGCTTGTAAAATATGTGCTTGACTCATAAGCCCTGTCAATTTCGTTTCCAGAGTGCCACAATCAGCAATTTGATTATTCGTGAGTGTATGCCCAGAGTGAGCACTCATGAATTGTAAAATCGCTGATTGTGACGCTCAAACACGTACTTTATAACATCTTCTTGTAACTTACACGTACTAATCATAATTATAACGTCTAATGATTTCATAATTAACATAAAAAACTCATTTTTTATAGCCTACATGCAAATTATAGTGCAGTGGGGTTGTAAAGTTGTCCCACCCTAATGTACCCACTTAAGGACAATCTTCCATAAATTTATCGATTTCGTTTGAGTTTCCAGTGAGATTTATTTCCATTTTTCTAATAGCAGAACGAGCATACTGGCTCATTCCATGTAGTGGTAAACTGTTGCTCCAAATAACACAATCAATTTTGGTTGTTTTCCTGTTCAGGATTGACTAAAGTTACACAGACAACACATTATCTGTTTGTCACTGCTTGTTCAAGATCCTGTTTTTGTGCTCTAAACGTGTGTTTCCTTTATTTTAGACTTAATTTGTAGTTTGGAATATTGTATTTGTTGTGTAGCACTTAGAAATTAACATCAATTTTTGAACTGAAACATGCATGTCAAAGATTTCACCCTTACGTTAAAAGTTCTTCACGTTGCTGTTATCCACTAATCGATTTACCTACTAACATTGCAAAAAGATGACCCGTCTCAAGCTGCGGTTTGTTTAATTGGATCATTTTCCTTTCCAAGAACAGACTTTTCACCTTATTACTCACTATCTTTCGTTTTACTGTCCATGTCGCAAATATTGTAAATATATGCTTCCCTTTGCTACATTTATTTATCAAATATATATATGTTTAGTCCATATCTGTACGAGTATTTCAACCAATCAATGTTTTCGACAGCTTCAATATAACCATAGTTAAGATAATTTCAGATCGAATTCACGAATTCTGTTTGTGCAGTTTGTTTTTGCCTAAACGCAAACAAGTATAATCTAAAGCAAATTTCAATCTGTAAAGGCATATGAAGCTTACTCATGGATGAGTACGAAAACTGATCAAATGAATCAGAACGATGTACAAATATTCAATTATTTAATTTGTCGATTTCTATTGTGAAGGCCATTTATATTTTGTGAATATCAGATTTCATTCGACCAGCTCCAATATCTAATGGGGTTTCTTAAATTGGGTAGTTTTCATTGATTTTTGTTTAGTAACGTTAATTTACTGCCTCTATCGTGTTGACTAATAATAATACATTCAGTGTTTTAGCTGTTTAGTCATAGCTAGTCATAATTCAACAGCATGTTAACCAGTAGTTTCTCATAATGTGATTTTACTACAGCTATACAGTCGTCGTTGAAATCTTCAAATCAATGTTTCTTAAATTCCGTATTTATGTAAGGTAAAAATGTTTCAAAAGGCTTTATTTTTCTCTCAAATACTTCATGTTATAGTATGTAATGGTTATACTGTAAGGTTTGTGCAAGTATTGGTTTATGTCAGGTGTGGCCTAATGATTGTTTACTATTACTTTGTTAGGAGTAGTAGGTTTTGTTTTTGGATGAGATTTGTTACAATTTGACTGCTTTACAGGATGGTACATGCCGAACCATGCATGACTTCACTGATGAACATGGGCGTGCCAGCGCCCAATCCTCCATCTGTTTTCTCGTTTTCATTCTGTAATAAATTGAAAATCGTTAGACTGCATTACCTACATTTGTCTCCCGTTTCCGTTAGATGTTACCTGGTCGTATTCGCAGTCAAAGTATCGACTTTGGCAATCCAAACACCGGCACTGGTCGGACATTTTGCAGGTTATACCGCACTCCTTGGCGACAGCTTTATACAGTTGTTTACTCGACTTGTACAGTATTTCGGGTCCTTTGATTTCATGTGTAATCCTTAAGGCGGCGTTTGACGTTCCCTCGTAGGCCTGTGTGTCATATGAGTCGCACTCATCTGAGAGAGAGTTGTTGTCGAGGTTCTCCGTAGACAAACAGGTTTCCTCGATGTTCATGTTTTCCATTTCTTCGGCTGGAACATCGAAAAGATGAGGATTTAAGGAATTAACATTTGAGTGGTGATAAGGTTCCACTTGAATCCATCATTGACTATATAGTTCACCCGTGTTATGTTTCAGTTCGGTTCTGGCGACGTTGCACGCCGTGTCTGAAGTGTCAGATTAATCAACTTTCATGTCCTTCGGGTTTTATTCCAAAAAGTCTTAAACCGGTTGGTTTTAAAATCTTCTATCGGGGGGAAATCGACAGCCGTATACTTTGTAGTCAAAGTCCCCTCGTTGTTTGAAAATTGTTATCAACAACAACTTTGCCGTTGTTCTCTTTATATTAGACTTCAAGGTACAGCTATCCCCGAAGAACTCGTTATCCACTGAGTTGCACCCACCGCTTTTCCTCGGCGGGGTTTCAACCAGTCGTTCTGATGTTATGCATGTGAGTAGTGCCAATGGAGAACTAGTCACTCGCAGAAAATCAGAGCGCTTGGTTGAAAATCCACCGAGACAAAGCGGTGGGTAGAACTCAGTGGGTAACGCGTTCTTCGGGGGAAAGCTGTAATTAGTTATTAATTGATTAACAAGCCGATAACTTTCTGATATGAGTAATCGAATGTTTTAAGGGAAACACTGCATCTTGCATTAGGGGAATATTACCGCCCCGAAAATAAAAAAAAAAAAATAGTTTCGGCACGTTTTTATTTCTCTAAAAACATTGGAAATTATCAAAAATCCAAGAAAATCAGTTTCTTTCTTAAATTCAATATTTACATGTAAAAATAATTTTTCTATCTCATCATGAAAAAATATTGAACTCTCAGCAAAACCGAAAAGTTGATGTTTTGTGGTTTTTTGAGTCCAACTTTATGCCATGATAAATTACATAAATTATTTTTGCACATGAATTTCTTTAAAAAATACGGAAAAATGTGATTTTTTTTAGATTTTTGATATCTTTTCCCAATAATTTTAGAAAAATCGAAATTCATTTTTTTTTCGGAGCGGTATGCTTCCCCTTAATGACATAGTAGCCTGGATTTTTTGCACTATTCATCGTGACATCCACACCAATGTAATTAATAACTAATTATTCGGACGTTCAATTTAAATGCGCCTTTCACATTTGTACAGATAGCAAACTTTTTCGTAGATCATTACAGCGATGGGCTAGAACGATGAGAACACAGAGTTCACTTGTCCCATAGTAATTGCCATATAAACTTCAAAAAACCAGTGCAGTATGAGTTCGCATCCAAATGAGCTCAAATTGAGTAATAGTTTGCACCATCAAATACAACAGATGTCATCCCGCCAGTGGTCTAGAAGGGCAATTTTTGTGATCAAATTAAAAAAGGACATAAAGATGAAGTTGTCGAAGATAATTTGTCATTTTCATGAAAACCCCTTGAAATCGTTTTTTCACCGTAACTTTTTTTTTTGATTTTTTATGGCACACTATGTTTGAGAGAGTTTTTCAGTTACTAAAACACACAACATTTCAGAGTATTGCAAGATGCTATCATAGAGGTAATTCTAAGACCAGCAGGTCCCGAAGAAACGAGCTCAACTTTTTGGCTCAGCTCTGGTACTATCTTCGGTCCCAAGCTAATCGATGCACTCCTCGAAAGATAGTAAAATCCACGAACCCCTCATTTTATCTGTCAAACTTTCATAGAGAATCAAAACAACATAGTGTAGTACTGGAATTTATACTAGAATGGGGTACGTTAGTCGATTTGCTTGGGACCAATAGGCTAGTCAAGTAGTGAGCCAATTTAAAATCGTTAGTTTCGTATTGATTGTTGATGCTATCTAGTAAGCTTCAACATACACAAACGTTCACTTTCACAGTTATCCTGTAATTTTTCAACGAATATCTGTGAAAAATAACAGAAAATCTGTAAAAAATAACAGAAAATCTGTGAAAAATCACCGAACTGTTGTTGAGATTTCGGTAAAATTTCACAGATTTTGGTAAAATAATCTTAGTGTGTTTGTTTCATTAAAAAGTACAATTTTCCACAGGTCATATCTCAAATTGGGGCAAAATTTTTCAAGAAACTGATGCGTGGCATGATTTTACATGTTTCAATAAACATTTTTATGTAAAAATATTGGAGGGGAAGTTGTCTATTACTACATGAGCGTAAATGGAAAATTGAGATTTTCATTGATAAAACTAACATAAATTAGTTTCTTTTTGCAAAGTTACTTTGCGTTTTTTTGGGGGGGAGGTAGCTCATCGATTCTTCCGGTTCGCCTCCTAGCATCGTGCTATAAGGTACCAGGCGATAACCAGGGTAGTTGATCGATAGCTCGATGACGTCATTTCGTTGGCGTCTGCAATGGGAAATTCTCATAGCAGGCGTTGACGATGGGACGGTGTCGAGTTGTTGAATAGCAAATATTGTGGTAACTCACCGATTACCTGTCAATCTACCAAATTTGGAAGGACGTCTGCATTGAATTGTCTCATATAATAATATTCCGCCCACTATATCACAAGAAATTGCGAGTAGCTGAGTGGAATGGAGATAAGTTAAGCATTGGGTACAGGACCAAGTCTCCCCTGGGTGGTGCCAGAAGATGAGCGCAATAGAATCATCAAGTTGCCATAAGGCACGGAATGAGACTATTGCATGGCTGGGTAGTCAAAGTCTTCCATTCGTTAGTCATTTCAGGTGGATTAGAGCAGGTTTAGGTTTAGAGTGGGCGTTGGCCAGATTTGGATTTTTCAGATGTAATCCTGGATAGGACCCTGTCATTGAACGTCGCGTGAAAGTGGAACTTAATGAAGGTGTTCGGATTTCTTAGGAAACAGTCCTTGGAATCTGCCTTGTGTAGATAGCAGATCAAAGCTGCAATTTATTTTTAATATTAGTTTTAATCATTTTAATTTTAAGAGGATATTGACTTACATTTAGTTTCTGCACGCTATTCTCTTGCAGATGACCTCAGCTTTTCTTTCCGTACTATAGTTGTAAGTATTAGCCGTAAGTGATCTCGTCCTAGTTCAATCAAACAATTAGGCTAATTTATGTAATGCCTAAGTACTTTTTCGTAGTTTTTAGTTTTCGGATTTGAAAGATCGTCGGTTACATCGGCCTGCTTACTGAGCAGAAAAATGCGGTCCCAGGTCCTTACATATCAAAGAGATTTATGGTAAAATCGCTTGTGTATCGTGTATTTTGCGAAACTCGTTGTTGTCGTTGGTTCCGGGTTTGAATGGATACCAAAAAAATTGAGCAACGGTATTATGTGATATGAGGGGCTCAGTGGCCTTAGAGCAACCGTTTTTGCTTACTGAGTAGAACATCATGAGTCTAATCTCAGGCCCTTCCATATTCAAGATTCGTCAATCGTTTTATTTGTTAATATGACTACATGGTAATAACAGCAACTCGGTGATTAAAAAGGTGCTCGTCTGCCAAGTGGCAAACGTTTTTGCTTACTGAGCAGAAGACCGTGGGTTTAGTCCCAAGCTCCTTCGCGTTATATGATCGTTAGGACATCAATTCAGCTTATCGTTTACCAAAACGAACCCTGCTGCAAACCCAACCCTCTTATCCAACATCCCAGTGATTCCTCGTGGAAGTGCAGAGGTGTTCTCGGCTTCCATCAAAGCGAGTGTCATGTCAACACAATCCTTCCCATTCCTTTCTTGACCTGTGTTCGGGCGCGGCCGGCGCTGGTATTGCCTAATTTAAGATCACCAGTTTTTACACATTGAGGATGATTGCTAGTCCCAAGCATCGTCTATTGGTTCTCTGTGTAATTACAGCTGATCTGGCAATAACAGAGTAGCAACCGTGGGCGGTCAATCAAGCTCAAGCTCAAGCTCAAGCTCCAAAGTTACTTTGCGTTTTTTGGCATACTTTGTTCGGAAATACCTGATTTGTAGTGGTGGATAAACCAGTATGGAGATTTTCAAAAAATCGTTGAATTCTTTTCAAACCTCGCTTCTAGTGGTGAGAAACTTTGAATATTTTGTTCTTTTTAGTAATAGTGACATTCTGTAGAAATAATATATCCGATAAATTGCACTATTATTGATATTTTGAATGAAAGTGAATTTCAAACAGCAGCCAATAAACGATTATACCACTTCTATGCACATAATAATCAACTTTCAACTTGTAGCTGCAAAACACTGCTAATAAAGTGAATATATTACTCATTTGATGACTTCCCAACACACTTAGAAATAACTACTTTTACGCGAGACGTAATCCATATTGGACGTAAATCATAGAACGTAAACAAACATTTCATGTAAAATTAAGTGTTCTCAAACCGAAATATCAGCTAGTCGACGAAGTCACGTTTCTTTCAACTGATTCTTATGTCAAAATGTCCGCTTACATGTGTCGGTCTCAGGGAACCGAAATTTGCATGACTTTTTAGTAGTTTGAAGACACAATTTCTACTTGTAGAAACGCCTGCATGATAATTTTATTAAGTTGCATACTGAATAATAGCTGCACTATTTTTTGTCACAACTTCTTTTCAAGCATTGTTCACCTGGGAGGGAGGGGGACGTACTGTCAAATCAGCCTACTGATCATTCTTGTATGAAACTGGTTCCAAACGTAAACAAACGCTGTAGGTTTCTTATGGCTTGTTTACGTTTGGAACCAGTTATGCGAGATAGGTAACGATTGTTCGTATTTGACAGCCACCTCCCCCCCCCCCCTTGTTGTTCACACGAATCTGGAGAATCTATTCAACTAAAAATTAAAGTGATGAGCGTTGTATACAGTATGTTGAAAAGTATTTATTCGACAGTTCAACATCGAAGCAACATCATTTCAACTATTTTTTAGCTGGTTCAGCTTTTATTAAACTTCACTGCTGATTGGCCCTCTTCGTTGCATACGCTTGTCATTGTATGGTTTATACAACCTCTGTACAGCGAAATTCGTCTGTCATATTTGATTTTTTTTAAATATGCGCTTCCCAGGTAACAAATTGATGCTTAACAAGTGTTCTTTCAACGATTTTAATTCAGTATTAGTTGGAA